GGGGGGGGGGGGGGGGTTAAAACATCCAACATCTACGGCGATAATAGTGGCAGCAACAGAAAACAATTATGGAACTTGAGCAGCAGTAATCCGTAAAGCATAGATGTCAAAGACACTACGTATCTGTGGCATGGAGCTCTCAACCTTTTTCTTTGATAATGGCATGGAGCTCTCAACCTTTTTCTTTGATAATGGCATGGAGCTCTCAACCTTTTTCTTTGATAATGGCATGGAGCTCTCAACCTTTTTCTTTGATAATGGCATGGAGCTCTCAACCTTTTTCTTTGATAATGGCATGGAGCTCTCAACCTTTTTCTTTGATAATGGCATGGAGCTCTCAACCTTTTTCTTTGATAATGGCATGGAGCTCTCAACCTTTTTCTTTGATAATGGCATGGAGCTCTCAACCTTTTTCTTTGATAATGGCATGGAGCTCTCAACCTTCTTGTGAACAAATTAGAATAGGAAATTATTTAGGGAGAAATAACATAAATGTACTTGCTTTTAGCTTAACCAGAATCTTGCTTAAGTAATCAAGATTTTCAGCCACCAATATGGTGTAAGACCCTGGGACAACAATTAAAGTTGGAAGGAAACAAGTACTTTGCCCTGTAAGTTTAACTATGGCCATAGTAGAACTACGTGAAGTATTTTAACAACATCAGTGGCGGAGCCATATTCAACCCAAGGGTGTCAATCGACACCTCTTCGCCGGAAAATTACACCATATTGCTAGATAACTTTTTTTGTTTTACTATACGTTGGTTCCCTTTGACTTTTCAGTGTATATCTAATTTTTTATATTTTGACACCCCTGGGTGGAAATTCTCACTTAACAACATCACATGCATTTCTATACATCAGGAATGCCAAAAATAATCCTTTACTTAAAACTTAAGCCCTTTAGAACTGCATGATTTTCTAATGGATTGCAGCACAAACGTTGGTGATGAGGTCTTATCCCGTACCAGGCTTATAAACCTTCGCAGCCAACACTTCTTTAAGGAATGTCAGGCGCTTGGCTTCTCTACAGAATTTCATAACACTGCCAAAACATAAGCAAATATTTCTGAACTATCAAAAATTATTCAGAAAATATCTTTTTAACACATGAACAGCAGAACAGGCAACATTGGTAAACAGAAATCATCTTTCATATGCAAAGCAATGGCATTTCCTTAGCAGAAACCACTTTCCGGGCAATGCAGCATGAATCAACTAGAACCAGGAAATATAAAATGCACAAAGTGTCTTGTCTTTTTCTGGCCTCCAGTGACATTCTTTTTTTTTTTTTGTCTCCTCTTTATCCATGCAAATTAAGGTCTTAATATTTGAGGTCCATACCAATTTAAACCATTAATATCTTGATCAGATTCATCATTTTAGTTATTACTATTATGTCGTTGACACCAATTAAACCATTAATATCTTCTATTAGCTCTTTCATTTTAGTTATTAATGCCGTTGGCTGCTTTGCTACGGCTGCATTATTTGTAAGAATTTTTGTTTGTAGCTTTTCTATTAATGCCATGTGCCGCTTTTTTGCTAGAAAGGGAACGTGGAGAATAAGTTTCCAGCGAAAAGGCAGAAAAACATAGAACCTCAGAAAAAGCTCTCTAGGGAATCCATCGGCAACAAGCAACATACATGTTGAAATGAAGAAAGCTCTCCCTTTATAGGCAAATAACATCGACAAACTCAAGGCTACAATATCCTTAATCTTTAGGCCACTAGGAAAAGGATGAAAATTTATCCCCACTACTGAAACCATGAAGCAGTTTCCTATCAAATGCAACTCAAGAACTAACATATATGCACCCAACTTAGAGTAATCACCTAATATA